CCGGCATAAAAGATGAAGTTCTTCGAGATCAAAAATATTCTATAAGAGGCATAAAATGTGTCTTGAACAGACACTGTCTGAAAGTAGTAAGGTACTCCATCGAGAAAATCTCTAACCTGATGACTTAGACTAAATACCTACAGCCCGCTTGAATGACAAAACAGTCAAATAGCTTTATTTTCAAGAACATTGGATGAGAGTAATCAGCCTCGAGTGTTGCTCTCACATGACATGCTGCCTATTTTAAGTCAACATGACGAAAAGTAGGGAAATGTATTTAATGTTCAGTCTAACCCAACGATCTATAATTTCTTGTACATTATTCTATGCAAAAACAAGTTTTACATATATTCAGTTTAATCAGATTCATTCTTGAGATTCTGGAAATTCTAGTTGTAATAGTCATGCTTATTCATGGTCTCCTATGGTTATTAACTCAACCTTATCTGTAATGGTAAACATTAATCAGTATTCTAAGCTTTAAATAATATACCAATCTAGACATCTGGTTACATCTCCATCTACGAGTAGTTTAGCAAACTTAATACCTGTTCGGGCGCAACTACTTTATTAAAATTATTATTAATAATTTGAGTTCTGTTTGGATTACTTTTAACTTTGCCTACCTTCGATGGACTCTGTATTGCTATTCAAAAGATAGCAATAGTACCACATCTGGACAGCATTCAATCGTACACGTTAGTGTATATCTGTTTTTATAGCCCCATCTTTATGCAAATTTTTATATTTGTTCTCATGCCCGCCTTTTTGTATAAAAAATGTCATTTTTTCACCCTATTTTTCTGTGGCTATGTTTTTGCCTTTGAGTATAATCTAACAACATAATGAATTCTCTCAGTGGGCTCAAATATATTTTCCCTGCTAATTTATCTTTTATCTAATAAACTATATGCTTATATATTTTAGGTAAAGATTTGGTTTCAAAATCGTCGTACCAAGCACAAGAGAGAGCAAATATGTCGACCAACCGAAGATGATGATAGCATTGGCACATGTCCCCAGCCTCTTGGCCTGTCTGACGAGGAGTTGGCGCTCATCAACGAGGCTCTAGAAACGGCCAAAAACCAACGCAACAATGTTGGCCTAGCCCTTCAGGCCCCAGAGACAACAGAGAACTTGACCGGTTTGCACAACCTTCAAAGCCAACATGCTATTTCCCGGCCTCACGTTTTGCACAGTCAATGCCAGCGTTTGCCCCAACCTAAACAGCAACAACAACCCCTCGCCATCTTAAGTTTGCCAAATGCGAATGAGGTGTCAAGCCTTGGCCAGAGAGATCTTACCACGGTTAAGGCTTACAGTCAGATCGGCCCTCAGTCCTCCATTCCCACCAAAGATGTATTAGAAACTGTGACTCCTTGCCAGTCAATGAATGGTATTTTTTCTGCTGAACCCATCTGTGAGCTCGATGCGTCAATCATCGTAGAAAAGAGCACGGAATTGAGGTCTTACATTTCACGCCCTATACCCAAAACCCTTGGCGAGCTTGGAAAGGAACCTAATATTTCGTCCAGCTCTCCTCGTTCTGAAACCGGTCCCAAATTGCCAACTTCACCGACTCTTCTGCAAGGTTTCCAACATCCTGAACTTCCACTGAATACGGAATGGGGCATGGAGAAGGCGCGCTTTTCGCAAGCTCCATCCAAATGTCCCCCGTCGAGACCACCACATTCAAATTATCTTCAAGACGAAACCGATTGGTTAGGTTTGGTTGACTCTTCGCCTGGCCTGCCCTGGTCAGCTTGGATACCAGAATCCCAGCCTCCGGTCGCTGCGTACACAGTAGACCAGACAGACCTTTCTGGCTATTGTTGTCCACAGGCGATCCGGTCCTCTCTTAGTCGGGAGAAGATGATACAGATGGACTCGTGTCAGACTGATCTCACTCGACGCTTCCAAAGACCTTCTCTTAAGGTTGAGCCCTCCGTTTCTGTGGCCCTTGGCGCAAGTTGTCTTTTTCATCCTTCTGCCATACCTTCGCCTACTTTTCAATCAACCGCCCAACTCCTGGCCTTTCAGTCATCTATTCTGTCGAGGATATTCTCGAATTTTTAGCCGCGTACCACATCCTCTTTTCTTCTTCTTGTATCCTCTTTCATGTGTTTAAATATCGAAAGGTAAATTCATTCGTCTTCACCCTTTACAACCAGATATTGTGTACACATTACAAACACCCCAACCCAGAACTCTCTTCGCTACACCTTAAGCCAGCCAACCACTCCTCATTTGCGCCACCAGTTACTCTTTTCTTATCCACATCCAGTTTTGTTTATATCTAGAAAAAGGATACATTCCAAGCTATGCCTTGATATTTTAATGAGGAATTGGAGTCAAGCAATGTAGGCTGATTTAAGCTAAATAGTAGCTATGTCCTATTTCTTAATTACAATCCTAAAGCGAAATTGATTTAATGATGTGTAGGTAACACGGAGACGGGTCGGTCATGTCGACTCTTACAAGGCTGAGAAGAATTCCAGACGTACCAGCCTGAACTAGTTGCAAGATTTATAGGAAAGGACCAAAGCTTAGAAGGAATTCACTGGAATCGTAGGTAAACGCCTCGGGAACAGCTGCAAGTGGGATATTCGAGCAAAACCCAACTAGGGCTGGACACAAGTATTGTTAGGGGGACCTTCATTTCGAATGAAAGTACATGATGAAGAGATTCGTTTGTCGTTCTCACC